GAATCTGAGAGCTTTCTGGCCCTCCCATAAACAGCAAGGATACTAACACGATCAAGGTCCAGAAACGTAGCAAGGAGATTGTTAAAATAATTCAGTGGTTCAACCGTAATTTTACAAAGCTGCGAGAATAATTTTTGTGTGCAAAGAAAACAAAAATAAGGACTTTATTCAACCATTTTTCTCTTCCGCGTCACCCTATAACGCCATTTTGGAGAGTATCACATACGTAATCAATGTAGGCAGGGGCGAGGTGGAGCCAGGGGGTGGCCAGTAGGGTTGTGTCGGTGAGGACATTTTCCCACCGGTTAATCGACGTGTGACAACACCGATAATACTGGTATCACCGCTGGGGCGTTCCCTCTTTTGCTCGCTTTCCTTCGCTTTTAAATAGCTTAAAAGCACCTTGCGTATTTTACTTTCACTTTCAAATTAGCGGCAATTCGGCGTCAATTGCTTGAATGCAACAACAAAATACAACGTCAAACTCACTTTTTTTTAACTGAAAAAAAGAAGCGTGCTTATGTACTGAATGTAAATGCATAATGTACGTCAAATCTTAAAATCTTAAAAAACTGTACATACAGATAATAGCCTATTATGAAATTGAAGACCACTTAAAGGGATAGTTCACCCAAAAATTACAATTCTGTCATTAGTTACTCACCCTCATGTCGTTCCAAACCCATGAGACCTTCATTCATCTTCAGAAAACACAATTTAAGATATTTTGGATGAAATCTGAGAGCTGTCAGACCCTCCCATAGACAGCAAGGCTCATGAAACTGTCAAAGTCCAGAAAGGTACCAAAAACATCGTCAACACATTCCATGTGTCTTCAGTGGTTCAAGCGTAATTTTATGAAGCTACGAGAATACTTTTGTGCGCAAAAAACTGAAATAACTTTATTCAACAATTCCTTCTCTTCAACTTAAGTTCAGGATGCACGTTCACGAGGGCACTTTGCGTCTTCCTCTGCTTGTGAACAAGGTGCCAAGGCTTCCGGGTATACATCAGCAGCGCTACACGCATTGCGTCATAGCGCCCTCGTGAACTGAACTGAAGTTGAAGAGAAGGAATTGTCGAATAAAGTCATTATTTCAGGGGTTTTTGGGCTTCATAAAATTACGGTTGAACCACTAAACAAAAAATATCTTAATTTGCATTCAGAAGATGAACGAAGGTCTTACGGGTTTGGAACGACATGAGGGTGAGTAATTAATGACAGAATTTTCATTTTTGGGTGAACTATCCCTTTAAGTGTACACTCCACTTAAGAGAGCACACTTTCATGACTATGTTTCTTAACACACTTAAGTACTCGTTTAAAAGAAACCCACTTTGCAACAATATCCAATTAAAAGCTAACTTTAAAGCACATTTTAAATTGTTATATTTTAATAATCTTTTGTTGTGATTTAAAGTAGTGCATTTTTGATGTGTTGACTAACATACTAAAGCACATGTAAAGTACTTATAATTTGAACTACAGTGTACGATTTGATATTACATTTAAAGTTAGTATATTTTATGCACTAAGTTGCAACTTCATTATTACAATGTGCAATTTAATATATACTGTATTAAAGTATATTTAAATAGGCCTATATATGTATATATAAGTATAAAGCTACCTTGTTCTACCCTAAATCTATTATGTTTAATATTTTTATAGGCTATAAGGAAATGAGCTTGAAGCTCTTCAATATTTCAGGATCCGCGGTACGTCAAAAGGACCTGTTTGAAACATGCCCAAAACTTAAAACATCCGAATCCTCAGAGATATCAAACGTGTCATGTAAATGTTAAATAACACTGGGCTTAAGCAGCAGCCCTGTCTCACTCCACACTCCTGGGAATGATACCTCATACGTTTGGTGCTGATTTTTACACCACGTTTACTTTCAGTGTACATTGATTTGATAAGGTCATAGGTTTTACCAATGTATAGATGTGATCAGATATACGGTAATTTGGTAAAAATCCGATTTGGCTTCTGCTCAGTACATTGTGTGTGGTGATGAAGTCTAATAGTCGAGCATTTATTATGCTACAGAATAATTTTCCCAGGTTGCTGCTCACACAGATGCCTCTGTAGTTGTTAGAACTTCAACATCCACCTAGATAAACCTCAGGCTGCAGACTTCCACAATCTGCTTGCTTCTTTTGATCTCAAGCGAGTATTAACTACGGCTACTCACAAATCAGGCAACCAACTGGACCTTATTTACACACGACACTGCTCCACTGATCATGTGCTCGTTACTCCACTACACACCTCGGATCACTTCCTCCTCACTCTTAACCTCAACATGGTTCCTGACACAACACAAACCCCTACATATGTCACTTTTCGACGTAACCTACGCTCTCTCTCACACTCCCGGCTATCTGCTATGGTTTCATTTTTGCTTCCTTCTCCTAAACAGTTATCATCTCTTGATGTTAACAGTGCTACTGATACTTTCTGCTCCACTCTTGCATCTTGTTTAGACACTGTCTGCCCCTTGTCTTCCAGGCCAGCTCGTACCACCTCTTCTGCCCCTTGGCTATCTGATGTTCTCCGTGAGTATCGTTCTAAGCTCAGAGCTGCAGAAAGAGTATGGCGCAAATCACAAAATCCTACTGACCTTAATGTATATCGATCACTCCTCTCTTCATTCTCTGCTAATGCCTCCACTGCTAAAAGGACATACTATCACAACAAAATTAACAATTCGCCTAACTCTCGCATGCTCTTTAAAACATTTTCCTCCCTCCTTTGTTCTCCTCCTCCCCCTCCTTCATCAACTCTAACAGCTGACGACTTTGCCACATTCTTCATTAATAAAATTACAAACCTCAGTGCACAATTTGCCACACCACAAACTGTCAAACACGTCTTACCAGCAAACGTACACTTGTTTTCATCCTTCTCTCCACTCTCTGAGGCAGAAGTCTCTAAACTCATCCTTTCCAATCATCCTACTACTTGTCCGCTTGATCCTATTCCATCTCATCTCCTTCAAGCCATTTCTCCTGCCGTTGTACCTGCACTCACTCACATCGTTAACACATC